TGCCAAGGATCTAGGTTGTGCACTCCTTGTGAAAATCTAATGCCTGATGATCTGTCAGTGTTTCCCATCATCCCCCATGGGACCCTCTAGTTGCAGGAAAACAAGCTCAGGGCTCCCACTGATTCTACATTATGGTGAGTTGTATAATTATTTCATTATATGTTACAATGTAAGAATAATATAAATAAAATGCACAATAAATGTAATGTGCTTGAATCATCCTGAAATCATTCCTTCCCCCATCCCCAGTCCATGGAAGAAAATTATCTTCCATGAAACCTGTCACTGGTGCCAAAAAGGTTGCAGACTCCTGCTCTATAGGAGACTTCCTCCATTAAAAATTATGCCTGGCCACAAAATGTTTTAAAAATAGTGCTTCCCTTAGGCTGTCTCCTTTGCCCAGGGTATTTTCCTCCTTTCCTCTCCAGACTGGATTAATTTCTACTTACTCCTAGGGCTTAACTTAGGTATCGTGAATCTAAAAAGCTTCTTGTGACATTCATGTCAAGGCTGGCTTAGGTGTCTATCCTCTGTGTTCCCATAACACCTGAATCACGATTCTGTGTCACCATGCATTAGAATAATAGGCTTCTGGAACTATTTTTGCATATTAAGGCTGTGAACTCCTTGAGGAAAAGCGTGGCATCTTATTTATTTTGTTTCTAACGCTTAGCACAGTGCTGGTGTACAGAAAGTGATCAATGAATATTGAAGAAGGAGTGAATGAATGAAAATAAGCGAGGCCAGGCATGGTGGCTCATGCCCGTAATCCCAGCACTTTGGGAGGCTGAGGCGGGAGGATCATGAGGTCAAGAGATAGAGACCATCCTGGCCAACACGGTGAAACCCCATCTCTACTAAAAATACAAAAAAAATTAGCTCAGCACGGTGGCACGTGCCCATAGCTCCAGCTACTTGGGAGGCTGAGGCGAAAGAATTGCTTGAACCCAGGAGGCAGAGGTTGCAGTGAGCCGAGATTGTGCCACTGCACTCCAGCCTGGTGTGCAGTGACTCCTTCTCAAAAAAAAAAAAAGAAGAAAAGAAAAGAAGCAATCCTACTATGTTTCCAACAGTCTGAATGATAGGAATTGAGATACAGAATGTATCCATGGAAACAATATAGAAATATAAGTAGCCCTTTCTCACACTTGGCCAGAGGCTTCCTTATGAGGATGGCTTAGCTAAAACCACAGTGCCTCCTAATCAATTCAATGTAATCTTGAATATGGACAATGTGCTAGAAGTTGCCACCTAGAAAATCATACTTTTATTCCCTTAGCATCTTAGCCATATGCCAATTTGTTTCTGATAATTGGGATTGCTCTCCTGGTCAAACCATTTCATCTCCATGCCATGCATGGTCTGTCTTTCTCATTCATCCAGGGGCACTTTGCCTTCTTCAAACCGGATTCTTAGGCAGAATTTAAAAGACAACAAGCACTTCTCCAACTTCTGCCTCATGAGTTGGATATTTTCCAATTGTTGGTGGGGAGAGACAATTCTAGATGATTCTTCTAAGCCTGAGGTACGATTGTCTCATTTAATATACTTCCTGCGCTGACATCTCTGGCCCAAACCACCTTCCATCCTTCCTGGGGACTGTCCATTGTTCTCTAGTGTATGATTAGCAGATTAGCTATCATGTAGGAAGCCAGGAAAATGAACTCACAGTAAGCCCTTCCAAAGCAAGAGTAATTCATTACCCGGCCTGATTTCCACTTAAAATGTACTTTAAGCTCACTTCCAACTACAAACCTTAAATCACCCTGTGTTCACAAAGTCCATCATTTTTTATTTTATTGCATGGCGTTGGCATGACATAATCCCTTGCAGAGCATCTCAGAGTGCTTTACAGATCAATAAATTACTTACCTGCACAGTTGAAGCAATGTCTGCAAGGCCAGCACAGACATTCTGCAGGCAGCCTGTCCTCCAGGAAGCAAGCAAGCCCGTGTGGGTGCCAAGAGTGGGCAGGGGCAGGGACCAGCAGATGTATGGGTTGGTGTTGGGGCAGGGGGTGCCTGGTGCGTGAGATGGGAATGCTCTAGTTAAAACTGTGAATAAAACACATCAAAGTGCCTATTTTTGCAATGATCAGTTTAAATGATTCCAGAACTAAGAGAATTTAGAAGTTTGTACCCTTCAGGCAGTCAGCAAATCAAATGCACAGTCATTAACTCATCAATTACCTTTCTGTCCTAGAAGGCTCATTCTAGCTTTTAAAATGATACAACCATAAATTGCAATGTTATATCTTAAAAGTCCCAGATTGTAGAGCTAGCGTTCTCTCTTCTCCAACCCTCACCACATCCACTCTCCATTACTTCTGTCCCACAAAATGCTTGCGAAAATGCAAAATGTGTGTCACAACACACACACACACACAGCCTCTCTACCTGAAGCTCAATGAGGACTGAAATCTAAAAATGATTAACTGGTGCTTACTCTACTTAATATACCCTACTTAGGAGAGCAAAAAAATAGAACGTTAAGTGAGGACCTTGTTTGATATTTTATATTAAGGTAATTTATAGTATAAAAGGTAAAATGGGGTACATGTAACGTAAGAGTTTACTTTAATTACCATATGGGAGATACTACAGTGCTGTGAAATCCCCAGGAAGGAGAGGTCACGTCCTCTTGGGGATCACCTGGACAGCCTTATCAAAGGGCTGGTAATTCTCTCAGGCCTTGGACAATTTTAATAGTTGTGTATAGTCACAGAGAAGACTGTGAGCACTGAAGTCAGCAACAAGGACATGGGGATGAGGAGACAGCTAAGTGCGACACAGATAAGTTCAGCACATGCTTTTTAATGATGAGCATTTAAGTTGGGTGGAGGCAGGACATACATGGAAGATAGCATTGGAGAAGGAGGGAAGGGGAAGAAGGCTAAGATATCCTTATAATGTCCCCTATTCATGAAGGAAAAGATCCAACACAACTAGGAATGAGTGAGTAGTGCTTCAGGTATAGGTAAGACCAGCATTAAAATTTGCAAACCCATCTGACTTTAGTGTGAGGGCCCCACTCTGACTTTGGAACAAGGAATAAAGTCATCGTACAGCTTCCCTGGGCTCTCCAACAGGCCAGATCACATTGCAGGCCAGGCGGATGGCGTGCTTTAGAATTGTACAGCATGGTGGCTCTGAGGAATACTTACTCAAGCAAAGAGTATAACATGAAGAAACAGAAGAGTGTGGGATGAAGGGAACACTTAACTTGCCGAGAACTAAGAAATCAAAACCAGCATCAGTAGCATTGAAAGAATATCTGCCAGTGACCCAGCTCTGAGGTTGTTGTGGACATGCTGCACACAGGTTATTCCCTTGAATAACCATTATGACTCAATTCTGTAAATGTCTGCTGAGCTCTTAGTGTGGTTACAAATATAAGTAACACATTGTTCAGGTCATCAGAAAACTCATGGCCTAGTGGTGATGCTAAGCACATAACCATAGCATAGTGGAATGAGTGTCTAGAATTGGAGTTTGGGAGCTCAGCAAATGACTTCTTGATTCCATCCACTTGAATGATAAGACAGATAAGTAGACACATGGAACCAAATATCACATTTACTAATGGTAAAGCTAAGACTGGAGAATTAGGCTCAGACGTGCAGCAACAATTATGTTCTATGACTGGAACCCAAAAAGAAACAGGCACACACATACAATGGCTGGATGTACCACAATACCTATCCCATCCTTGTGGCATGCTGCTTCTGTAAATAAGCATGTGGAGGAGCACACCACAATATAAGCTTCAGAAGGTTCCGAAATAGTAGACAGAAGGAAGTAGACATTCTGTCTCCAATTTTATCTATTACCTATCAGAATGAACTCCTTCCCTCCCTAGGTGGAGTCATTTAGTGGAGAAAGAAGAGGGGGAGGGGGGAAGGGAGAGCGAGAGAGCGAGACAGACAGACAGAGAGAGACAGAGTCAGAAGTAAGTTATGGCTAACTGACGTTTTATTCGATTCCCCACCAGGTATGTAGCATGTGCTCTGGGCAGCACATGAAGCAGCAGCAGCCAGTTTGAGATGTGCAAAAGGGCAGAGAAGTGTAGAGGGTCACGAAAGTTTCAACAAAGAAAGTGGCATTTGATTTGGGCCTTAAGGATGACTGAAAGTGCAGTTTGGGAGTCCGAGGCAGGTGCATTGCTTGAGTGCAGGAGTTCAAGACAGTCTAGGCAACATGACAAAAGCTTGTCTCTACAAAAATAAAAATAATCAACCAGGAATGGTGGCTCATGCCTGCAGTCCCAGCCACTTGAGCTGAGGTGGAGGATTGCTTGAGCATGGGAGGTCAAGGCTTCAGTAAGCCATATTTGCACCACTGCACTCCAGCGTGGGTAAAAAAGTAAGACACTGTCTCAAAAATAAAAATGACGATGGCTGGGAGTTGTCCAGGAAGGATGTGAGGAACAATATGGATCCAAATGCATGATGCCTCAACAGAGCTTGATGTCCTGTGGATAACAAGGGGGTCAGCAGAGGTGGATCCCTGGGGTTGGCCATGGAAATGTAGACTGATGTTTGATTCAGCATAGCCTCATGCCTAGAAGGAGCCCCGCTATGACCAGGTGGCCATGGGGAGCCATTGGAACTGTTTTGACAGAGATGTGATATGAACAGAATTGCATTCTTTCAAGACATCACTGAATGCAGAGTGGAGGATGGCTCGTGGATATGTGTTGGAGGTGGGTGGGGGTGAGTGGATACAGGAGGAGGGTGGAGGCTAGGAGAATAGCTATTGCAGTGTTGCAGTAGAATGTATTCCCACTCGGACTCCCTGACTTTGTGTTTAAATAGGAGGAAATCAAGGCTAAATTCAAGGTAAGACATTTTTTATATTTAAGGTAATTCCTCTAATTTCTCATCGTTAACTTGCTATAGTTCATATATTTTACTCTCTGGACTATTCTCCCAACTGCCATGTTAAGATAACTAAGAAATGTTTAAGCAGGATTTTTATTTTCATTCTGTCTTGTCTCCACAGTATCTCCAAAAATTGTAGAGATTTCTTCAGATATCTCCATTAACGAAGGGAACAATATCAGTCTCACCTGCATAGCAACGGGTAGACCAGAGCCTACGGTTACTTGGAGACACATCTCCCCCAAAGGTAAGAGAACAGTTTGCTGCATGGCATCATGAGGGTAAATGGGGGAACTGTTGGCCCTTGACAGGAGGTTATAGGTGCTGGTACCTACTCCAAAAATTTCTGTGTTTTTGGTTACCTGATGATAATATACTCATGGCTCTGCAGAGAATGTTGATGTTCTCTGCAAAACAGGCATATCTTCTAAGATTTAAGAATTTATATCTCTATATCTCTCCAGTCCCTTGGAAATTAATCCCAGTTGTTAACTGTATAAACCCTCTGCTCCCAAAGGTGGCTGTCCCTGGGTGAAATGGTGGTAAGGTGTTCTGGGTGAACTTTACATGTCATTTGATGATGGAACGAAGCTTTAGTGGCAGTTGTTCAGTTGGTTATTTTAAATGAGAGAAAACACATAATGATGGGTGAGAGCTTTAAATGGCCATATTCCTAAAAGGAGATGCTCCAAGTCTGTGCCTCTGCAGCCTTGCCAAAAATCTGGTCACGGGCTGTTTTTTGTGGTTTTGTTGTTGTTTTACTGTGATTGATCCTAGAGAACAAATATAACTTAATATGTGACCAAATTGCAAAGATTTACTTTATCTGAATGTTCAGATGTTATGTAGACCAAAGCGTTGTTTTGTGCTTCCATGGATTGAACATTAAAACCTTTAGAATTTGAGACAAGATGTCATTTATTATTAACGTAGCTTTTATTTGGGAACAAGGAAGATAAAAATATTTCGTTTAAAAATATTTATTGAGTGCTTGTAATAGTCCAGCCTCTCTTCTGGGCACTGGGGGATATAGCAATAAGCCAAAGTGGTAAAGTTTTCAGTCTCATGAGCTCACATTCTCATGAGACAGATGACAAAAAAAAAAAAAAAAAAAAAAAAAAAAAAAAAAAAAAAGACCAAAAAAAAAAAAAAAAAAAAAAAAAAAAAAAAAAAAAAAAAAAAAAAAAAAAAAAAAAAAAACAGTGTGCTATATAACAGGTGGTACTAAGGGTGAGAAAATAGAACTGGATGTGTTGACAGAATGACAAGTGCTTTCTTCAGAGGCGGGCTCTGAAAAGGGGATATTCGTGCAGAGACGTGAATAGTAGTCCTTAATCGTGTTGCCTATTGCTGATTAATGTGAAATGTGTGCATGTGATTATGTATGTACACATGTGCAGGGGTGCACAGATGGATGAAGGTGTGTGATTGGCATGAAAGACGCATATTAGGGGGTGCTTTTGGTCTCAACTCCCATGGAAGGGAAAGTGGGGAACATAGTTGGGCAGGTGAAAAGCTGGTTTGTGACACAGCCCAGTGGGACATCTCGGCTGAGCCTACGGCAGTCTCTGAAGATAGGATTGCCCTTCAGAAGTTTCCTTTATCGAGGTGATGGAGCCAGTCCTGTGCATCAGTACAGCAGTCCGAATTAGGCTGATCCCAAAACAGGTGTGACTGTGGGCCATGCATCTCTCTTCACATGAGGCAGTCCCCACAGGGGTCTGACCTCTGAGGGCTGTTCGCCAGTAGCAGGTCCTTTGTGAGGTAGCAGGTCCTCTGCTCCCAAAGGTGGCCATGCATGACACTGTCCACTACACTTCAACATTTTAATAAATCAGAGCAAGACCGTGAAAGAGCCCGAAATACCAAATTCCAGACAGTGACAGTTGGCCCTGATGGATGTTCTCAGAGAAGGCATGACATTTTCAGTCGTGTGTGGCCTGAATTCCTGGGAGCTGTCCTGGGCCAACATTCTTGACACTTTCACTGTGAACAAAGGGTCTGTGAGAGCTATTCATGTCTCTGCCAATCTCTCCATTTGAAACGACCTCACATGTGGACTGGCCCAAAAATGGGGAGGAAGCTTCAGTTGTATATGAGATCATTAGTGATGGGGAATGGCCCTGGGCCCCTCTGAAGGAGGGGCCATTCAGACGGATGCACACTAAGTCCGTGGTGTGCACCATTCATCACAGCCTGATGTGAGTCCCCAGTGCCAGTGGATGCTAGCCCAGTCTGTGCCTTTGGAATCTGCAGAACATTTATCATCGGGGTAGGCGTCCTGTGCCTGATGTCAAGGGGCTCTGTCTTCTGCTTGACGTTTCTTCTCATTCCCTCCTTCAGCCAGTTCTTTGTCCTTTTCTGGGCGTTTCCTCTGCTTCTCCTGCAGGCACCTCCTTTCTGTCCTGCCATTTTACGCCTATGCCTTCCCTATACCTTTGTTGTTGTTGTTGTTCTGTGCTTTGCCTTTCTCTTGCAGGCTCTGAAATCTTTCTGCTTTAATTTCATTCTTCACAGTTGTTTGCTGTCTTCCCCTCTGACATGTGAGCCTCTTGGGTTGCCTGGCTGATGTTCACACTGCAGTGTGAGAGTCTTTTGTTTCCCCTTTTGTGGCCATTGAACGGATTCATTTCCCCAGGGAACTTTTACCTGAGCCTGGGCCAGGCGTCCCATTTCACTGAGGTTTTAGCTGCTATGGAAACAGAAGATGGATCAAGGAAAGGGGAGCAGGACAGTCAGAATCTACCTGTGGATTAATTTACATGAACAGTGTTTTCCAGATCTCAGGTCCAGTTTAGGTAGCCCGGATTGAAACTGATGAGACATGCCAAGCAATAACCAATCACCTCGGAACTCACCAGGGTGCCATTTTCCACGTGACTGTTTATTTGGAGATCAGAGATGTCACTGGGCTGCTGCCCAGTCTGAACTGAAGCTGGAGACCCTCAGCAGTCAGGCCTTCAACTTTCCTCAGTAGTATTTCCTAAAAGAGACTTATTCTAAATAAACCAGGACAGGCTTGGAGTTCCTTGGAGAAAAACATGTGCACTTTAGCAGAGGCTCCAAAGGCAGAGCACCATTGTCATCTTTTGTGTCATTCTGCAAGGGTAGATCACGTTTCCATCAAGATCTTTCTTAAATGCAAAGCTGCCAAATCCCCAGGTGAACCAGGTGATCAGGGCTAAGCAATTTTGGCAACTCTGGTGGCTTCATTGCATTTTTTTCTCTCCAGACTGGTCTGTTTGTTCTGCACGTTCTTAAAAGTTCTTGTTTCCTTCATCATCACTCATGTGATGCTGCTTGCAATAAGCTTACATAAACCTTGTTAGAATGTGCATTTCTAGCCTTGGCTACCTTGTGTGAAGAGGAGTACAGAAATATTAAAGACTATTTTAGACGTGGCTCGTACACTTGGATATAGGGCAGCTCAGGAATGACCGTCAGGTGGAACAGGAGATGGAGGGCCATGTGTAGCACTTGATATCAGACGGAGAAAATGTCAGTTGTTCACGTCCAGTACAGAGAGGGAGGTGGGACCTCCAAGGCCACCTCTTGGAGCTTCCATTGATTGTTTGAAATAATTTTCCATATATTATTACTGGCATTATGCCTTTTTAGTTCCCTTCATGAATTTATCATTTCCAGAGTTCCAAGAGAAACGGCACTAGCTTTTTAAAGATCACTGCCCTGAATCTGCACACTTGTTTTGGGACGGGCAGATGTTATTTGCACCTGCAGAGGCCTTGGTCTTTTCATGAGGAAGAGTCTTCATCTCACTCCTTTCACTAGCAGGAGCCATCTCCATCTGCACGAGGGTTTGTTGATCCCAAGCCAGAGCCCCTGTGGGTGCTAGCATACTACTCTAGGTACACAGGTGCCGTCAGTGGGACTCTAACCTTCTGGAGGTAGAAAAAAGGAACAGGGTGGCATCTGCATACTGTGCCTGATGTCATGACTCTGTGCTTTGCCATTTGTCCACATCTAGACCTTCAAGGATGTGTTTTTTAGCACAACCCTTAAACTCTCAGCTTTCTATCTCCAGTAGAAGAACGTTAATGCTATCTTGTTCTCCTGAGTCTTCCTAAATAAACAGAAACATGATCTCTTTCAATACATCCCAAAAGATGCCATGTAAGACTTCGTAGAAAAACATTCTGAAAGCCTTATTTTTATGTTACCAGTTTCTGTTGGAATGTAAGACCTTTAATGGCATAGCTAGGATTCCTACATTGCCACATTCCTGGGAGCCCAAAATGAAACTCAGGTGAAGGAGCAAGTCCCTTCACTTATCTGTTGGTGTCACTATCCATTTGCAGTCAGGGATTACTGAGTGTCCTAGTGGAGCTCCCCTCTTGGGTGCACTTACCTTCCCCTTTCCCTCATCCAGCAAGACACTGACAATGAAAACCTCATCCAGGATATCTAGAGAACACGTTATACTGAGATGTTAGTAGTGGGATTCAGCAAAGCCCTGTGAGCTGTTCACAGAAGTGTCCTGATTTCCAGTTTATTTGCAATATTCCTGTCTCATGAGTTCTTTGAGAACAGTTTGCATCTCACTTCTCTTGATTCTCCTTCCAGCCCAATGCCTAGCACCTAGAAAGTTTATACTTCAAATGATCTTTAGATTACTTACAATATCAAATACTATATAAGGCCAAGTGCATTGGCTGATGTCTGTAATCCTAGCACTTTGGGAGGTCAAGGCCAGCAGATTGTTTGAGCTCAGAAGTTCAAGACGAGCCTGGGCAACAACATGGTGAAACCTTGTCTTTACCGCCCCCCCCCAAAAAAGTATTCAATAAATATGGGTCAGTTCAGTGAACAAGCACTGATATTTGCCCATGCCCCAAAGGGGTATGCCTGTTCTCTCAGTTCAAAGACTATCTGGATCGTTGAGGAATTCCCCTCCACTTTGATGTTGGCATGGAGACCGGGAGTGTTTTCTGCTGGCAAATCTCCAGGACATTTTCTCTGGTCTTCACAAGATCTCCAAGCCTTTCCTGAAGTCCCTTTGATGAAATCCTGCTGTGGCAGGGTTCGACTTGTCCTTGAAGAAGAACTCCTTTTCAATTTCCTTTTGCCAGAAGAGAGGAGGTGACCTGGACTGTGGATCACCTGTGAGCTCTTTTCTGCCATCATGGCTGCCTCACTGCAGTCTCTCTTCCAATGGCCCTTTTAGTGAGCATCTGGCCCTTTTGGTGCCTTGCTGTTCCAAGTACTCCTGTGTCTAAACCCCAGGTGGCT